CACACACACACACACACACACACACACACACACACACACACACACACACACACACACACACACACACCAACATGGAACCGTCACAGTTTTTCAAGGTAGATTGTTTTCGCGTTTTCCTAAAGAAAAAAAATACTCTTCAGTTCTGACTCCTACATGAAGTCAAACATGGCAGTATGCTCTCACTTGACGCAGCAGCTCGTTTTCTAAACAGCATCGAGGTGATACAGAAAATAAATGTAGAAAGCAACAAAGAAGAGTCGACTGGTAATGTGCGACCAGTGATACAAATAAAACTAATCTGGGTTTGCTGAATGTAAAGCTATAACACTGAGATTTTGTTCTCATCTTTTTTTTTGTCCAGAATCTAGCCTCAAACTCTTGTGTCTTCCTCCTCCTCTTCGTCCTCTTCTTCCTGCTGGGACAGGAGCTGGTACTGTTCGCCGTCCACAGGCAGGAAGACCGTCCGGGAGCGAGCCCCGTCTCCCTCAGAGGGGGCTTGACGACAGCTGGAGTCCAGCTGATCGGTGGAGCTGCACTTGGTGTACAACTGGCGGTGCACCTCGGGGCCGGGCCCCTCCTGGGACGGAGCGTCGAGGGCCCTGCGGTTTGTCAGCGTGGAATGGACGTAGCCGACGGGTACCGGTAAGCTGGCGAAGACCACGAGCAGGACGATCATCACCAGGGCCCAGCCTGGGTACTCGAGCGTCGTCTCGGAAGCCTGGGAGGACGAGGAGAACAAAACGTGGGCAGCTTGAGTCGTTTCACACCAAGAAAACCAACAATGAGACGAAGCTGCTGAAGACCGTGAAAATCTATCAGAAATATGTCACTTTTACACAGATTTTATTTAATTTGAACATTTCAAACAGACAAGTGTAATATTTAATTAAATTGTGAAACATAACGTCTTAAATGCTTCWTAATTATGTGATCTTACCGAGGTTTGATTCCAGGCGGTGTACGTGGGCGATTTGAAAACCATTCGTAACAAACTGGCAGCCAGAAGACCGACCATTGCCAGTAAACACACGTACTTCCACAGGTACTTGTACACCACTGGAGGGCGCCACTTAAGCATGACTTCAAYATCATCCAGAAAGCTGCAGAGAAGGGAAACATTTAAAACCTATCCATCATCCATCTTTTTAAAGAGGGAAGAACAGAGGAAACAAGTCAAAACAAAGTGTAATCATTTGAGAAATTGTGTCTCAGTTTTTTCTTTGTCACTTACCGATCTGTGCCGTAAACCCAGGACACACTAATGGTTTCAAAAATGACAACGATGACTAACGGCAGGGTTGCAGAATAGTCATCAAACATGGTCACAAAGTAGTTGCCAGAACGCTGAGTGAACAGTAACCCGATCACAAACCCCAAAGCACAGCTGCACACTGAAAAACAGGGCAAAACACACATTTTATTGTTTAAGTCTCAAATATTTGCTCGTCCTGGTATTTACCTTAAGTTTAACAGTCTCTTCTCTTTTTACAATACTTTATAATCAACATCAGATTTTCTTGTTTTTTATTTTAATAGTAACGGGTCCTCTGGTTTCCTCCCACAGACCAAAAACATGAACGTCAGGTTGCCTTCAGGCCAGGCCTCCCTTGYAAAAGAGATCTGTGATCTCAGTGGGATTTGCCTGGTTTAAAAAAAATCTTATTAAGTAAACAATAGACAAGGAAAGACTGCTGTATACATTCAGACTGTGAGTACCAGTGAGAAGGGTCCGATGGCGCCCCAGGAGGCTAAAGTTGTCCATGAGCGGCGTGAGGATTCCCTGCATGGTCCCAAACATGGTGCTCAGGCCCAGGTTGAGCAGCATCAGGAAAAACAGCGTGGACCAGAAGGGGCTGGCTGGGAAGAGGGCCATGACCTCAGTGAACGCTATGAACGCCAGCCCGGTCCCCTCAACGCCCTGAAAAAAAAGGTAGAGCTGGTGGGAATATATGGACACACATGATACTCCTTCTGCAGCTCTGTTTTTAAGACGATAGATCATTTAATAACCTAAACACAGTGAGATAACATGACCTCACACCTTCWTCTTCTGTTTTTTCATCTTCACCTTTTGTTCCAGCATCACAGCTTGTTTCCATCCAGACTTTAAATRTGGTTTCCTATATGTTTTGCTTGTTAGTACCTCCTGGACTCCTGGGGGGTTCTGGGAATATAACCACTTYGCCCACATTTTATTATCTTTGTGATGTGTAAGCTTGCCTATGACTCACATTTGAAAGCAGCTAATGGAACAGCACTGAGTTCTAAGCAAGTTCCCAATTCAGTGAAAATTTTTTTTTAAAATACAATTTGGTATAAAACTTTTTTTTCTTGTTTACATGAACATGGGATTTTCTTCTGTCTTCCAGTGCAAAATTTTTAATTAATGACATAATTCCTATAAACTYTTAGTTTTATAACGTCACCCTCATTGGCTAGAAAAGCCTCTCTATAACAATCTTGAAGTGGTCCACGGACCACTTTAACATCGTTAGAGATAATCATAGTTGTAGCATGTTTTGCAGCTCTGGACACATTTTATTAATTAGACAAGGGGCAGGGATGGCTGTTCAATTGTAAACGTTGCAGACCCCTGAGCCAGACGCTTTGACTATATACCGCATACTTTGAAGAAATAATAAATTGTTGCACTGGCTTTATTTTAGATTAGGTAGAGTAATCTTTATTAGAATTATATATTCTTTGAGGCAGTAACTTTTCAAAGCATTTGTATTTAGTAAGCACTTTTTGATTGCTAACTCACTTTTAGATCTTTGTCTAAATTCACTACTAAAATCTTTATATTTACATTTAAACCACAATTTATTCTGAGAAAAACATGGTAGACCAGTATCTGTAATTGCGCTAGAGTGTCAAACTCAAGGTCCGTGCGTCAAATATGGCCTGTCAAGGCATTGTATGTGGCCGGCGGGAGCGTCAAAAATGTGTTAATATCTGAAAATAAGCATATGCTACTTTATTTTTCCACTAAGTGGAGGTGCACAGGGTTCAAACGTAGGCAGCAATTGGTTGAAATTCACTACTTAAATTCTCCATTTCACCACATTTGTTATATTTTCTACCTTTTCTGTGACCCAGTTTTACTGAGAAGTGGGAATTTCCCACAAATTTAAACTGGAGCACCCTTCCAGTGGGAATTCCAGTGGGGGAACCTCAACTCAACATTAAGTAAAACTCTCTTACTTTTACTTTTAAATTKATTTCTGTATTGTTTATTTCATATTTGGTCAGTTGGACATGTAGTGCTTTTCAGTGTTTATAATAAAATGTGTTAAAATGCTGTTTCTATGCAGGAAATACAATGTAGAGCTTTAAAAGAGTAATCTTAGAGTTTGTTTCTCAGCCATAGCAATGAGACGAGGAATGTGACATTTCATGTTTAGTTGAAGTTAATTACATCTGGCCCTTCGAAGGCAATCATGATGTTCATGTGGCCCATGGGTGAAAATAAGTTTGACACTCCTGCGCTAGAGTTTGTCTCTAAACATTTGCTTAATAAAATTAACTATGTATTTTTTTCTTTAATCAAAAACATTAATGAAAGGCTGGATGACGATATAACTAACTGATTTGTTTTATCTTTAAAAAGTTTTAGGCTTCTTCGACCTGTCAGATGATTATGAAATGTTGACATTTTTAATTTTGTTTTTATTTGATGTATGTGTTTTACGACCTTGAAGGTTTTTTTCTGGTTTTAGAAATTAGTGTAACACCAAACTATAAGCTTATCATATTTCTGATACCTTGTTCATCTCCTCCTCCAGATTGCAGTCAGTGATATTCGACCCCAGCATGGAGCCATATTCACCGTACCACCGTCTGTATTCAGGTATAGACACGGAGCTCGGAGCTGTGAGGTTGAAAGAGGGCCACCAGTGTTGACTCGATCCATTGGACGCCAAAGAGTTTAACACTCCAAGATTTCTGCAAGAGATTAAAATATTGAGTCAAATAATACAACATTTGAACTGACAATAAAAAAGGGGTTTTAAGGGTTGTATATATGCATAAAAACACAAAGACATACTCAGCTATGCAGTGTACTGCAATGGTCTTGGCACGAAAACCAAGCACAATGAAAACCACCAGCGACGCCAGCACTGATGTCATAAAGTTGATGCTGGAAACCAACAGGGCGTCCCGGTGACAGTTGTTGTTCACCGGATTGTAGGAGGAATACGCAATAACAGAGCCGTACCCCAGACCGAGGGCAAAAAACACCTGTGTGGCTGCCTGCCGCCACACCTGGACACTCCCCCAGATCTCCAGCTGAAAGGCAGAGCAAAACAAAATCTTACTGAGTCACAGATTTTTACAAAACATCAGAAAGAAGACCGCTTCAGTTCGGCTTACTTTGGGATAAAACATGTATGTGATGCCATCCATGGCACCGTCCAACAACAGCCCTCTGATGAGGAAAATAAAAAGCACCACGTAGGGAAACACTGAAGAAAAGTACATCACCTAACAGCAGAAAAAACAGAATAATCTATGTGAATAAAAGAAGATAAAAAWGTATTACCAGTAAGACTTCAAAAATACAGTTCTATCTGACAATAAATAGAAAAACTGGAAAAACAAGAAAACTGGAAAACTGCTGAGCAATTAAAATCCTTTAAAAAACTACTGCAAAAACATTTAGTTTTTACAGCTATAGGGCTAACTGCATGCTGGTGGTAGAATCACGATTTAGAGCAGTGTACAGTGGGGAAAATAAGTATTTAGTCAGTCATCAATTGTGCAAGTTCTCCCACTTAAAAAGATGAGAGAGGCCTGTAATTGACATCATAGGTAGACCTCAACTATGAGAGACAAAATGTGAAAAAAAAATTGAGAAAATCATTTTGTCTGACTTTTAAAGAATTTTTTTGCAAATAATGGTGGAAAATAAGTATTTGGTCACCTACAAACAAGCAAGATTTCTGGCTGTCACAGACCTGTAACTTCTTTTTTAAGAGGCTCCTCTTTCCCCCACTCATTACCTGTATTAATGGCACCTGTTTGAAGTTGTTAACAGTATAAAAGACACCTGCCCACAACCTCAAACAGTCACACTCCAAACTCCACTATGGTGAAGACGAAAGAGCTGTCGGAGGACACCAGAAACCGAATTGTAGACCTGCACCAGGCTGGGAAGACTGAATCTGCAATAGGCAAGCAGCTTGGTGTGAAGAAATCTACTGTGGGAGCGATAATCAGAAAATGGAAGACATACAAGACCACTACTAATCTCCCTCGATCTGGGGCTCCATGCAAGATCTCAGCCCGTGGGGTCAAAATGATCACAAGAACGGTGAGGAAAAATCCCAGAACCACAATGGGGGATCTAGTGAACGACCTGCGACGCCAGGGACTCAGATCTTGCAGTGCCAGACGTGTCCCCCGCTTAAGCCAGTCCATATCCAGGCACGTCTGAAGTTTGCTAGAGAGCATTTGGATGTTCCAGAAGAGTATTGGGAGAATGTCATATGGTCAGATGAAACCAAAGTAGAACTATTTGGTAAAAACACAACTCGTTGTGTTTGGAGGAAAGTGAATGTGGAGTTGCATCCAAAGAACACCATACCAACTGTGAAGCATGGGGGTGGCAACATCATGCTTTGGGGCTGTTTCTCTGCAAAGGGACCAGGAYGACTGGTCCGTGTACATGAAAGAATGAATGGGGCCATGTATTGTGAGATTTTGGGTGCAAACCTCCTTCCATCAGCAAGGGCAATGAAGATGAAACGTGGCTGGGTCTTTCAGCATGACAATGATCCCAAGCACACTGCCAGGGCAACAAAGGAGTGGCTTCGTAAGAAACAGTTCAAAGTCCTGGAGTGGCCTAGCCAGTCTCCCGATCTCAACCCCATCGAAAACCTTTGGAGGGAGTTGAAAGTCCGTGTTGCCCGCCGACAGCCCCAAAACATCACTGCTCTAGAGGAGATCTGCATGGAGGAATGGGCCAACATACCAGTAACAGTGTGTGCCAACCTTGTGAAGACTTACAGAAAAYGTTTGACCTCTGTCATTGCCAACAAAGGATATACAACAAAGTATTGAGATGAACTTTTGTTATTGACCAAATACTTATTTTCCACCATTATTTGCAAAAAAATTCTTTAAAAGTCAGACAAAATGATTTTCTCAAATTTTTTTTCACATTTTGTCTCTCATAGTTGAGGTCTACCTATGATGTCAATTACAGGCCTCTCTCATCTTTTTAAGTGGAAGAACTTGCACAATTGGTGACTGACTAAATACTTATTTTCCCCACTGTAGCTGGTAGCAAATACTAAAAAGTAAAGTTTCATATTGTTTTTTTTCCTGCTGGGATTTTAGGACTAAGTTTTAAAAAACTGCTGCAGGCTGAATTATATGGCGCTGTGCAAAAGTCCTTCATCATGCCATGATTTTTAGATTTTGCTTCTAAGGAGGTGGGCTTTTAAAGGCCGTTCAAGRTTTATACGTAAACCAGAGTTCTCTGGGGTTGTTGTTGGGGTTCTCTTACCTTCGCGGAGGACTTGATGCCCTTGATCATTGCCAGCGACACAATGGCCCAAGCAGCCAACAAACATCCAGTCATGATGGGGTTAAATTCTCCACTTTCCTCTATGGAATTGGTGATGTCCAGAGCTTTACGAAACCAGAAATATGGCGTGGGGGAGCTTCTCGCACACTCCTTCACTGCGTATCAAAGACAAGACACTATAGACATTTTTCTGGTGTATAAAAGACGTGACATTTGATTTCCTTCGTGTCAGTACCRGTTTGATTGATGGTGACGTCCGTTGGACATTGGTGCCAAGGCAGAGGATACTGAAAGGAGTTACCCAAGTAGAAGAGGCTCCATGCGATGATAACATTGTAGTAAATAGCCACATAAAAACAAACCTGCAAAACAAATAAATATGTGAAACACAAACATCTACATAACATATTTCTTGGAACGTTATCTAAAGGGGAGTAAATCCCAGAGATGTGAATATACTTTGTCACAGTACTTAAGTAATTTTTGGAGGATTTGTAATTTTACCAAGTATTTTTATTGTAACTTTTACTTTTATCTTGTTATTTTCAAAACATAAAAGTGATCCTTTTACTACTTTGCTTTAAAGTAGACCTATCACACTTTTAAATTCCTCCTTTTCACATTTAAATCATTCAGTTGGGGTCTTTATAAAGTGGAACTGCAATGCTTTGGTCTGAATTCCTCCTTATAACTTCACCAGCTCCTCGTTCACCCCTTTTCTGTTGTGTGTCTCTGAGCAGCTGGATTTGAAACTGTCCCTTTAAGATGCTTCAAGCCCCGCCCCCTTCAGCTTCCAGACCAGCCCACTCCCATTTGAGAGAGAGAGAGAGGTGGGGGGTATGTTTTCTTGTTTGTAGAAATGTTTTATTTACAATTTAATTACAAAATGTCAACAACAGAAGACTCGTCCGTAGTCTTATGGTGCGTTCACACCGAACGCGATTTCAGCGTCAAAATCGCAGCCAACGCTGAAGTTTGAAGCTTGTGCACTTTGAGGTCAGACGCAGGACAGCTGCGCTGCACGGCGACAGCCGCCCCGCCCCTCCCTCCTCTGTGGGGCTGTTTAATGTCGGACGAGGAAGTGGCTTTGCTTTATTTACAGACAGCCAGAACGTGTCACGTTCATCAGATAATTAATTCATAATTAATTCACCAGATAATTCAGAGAAGAGGCTCACAGCTCGCTTTCAGGACTATTTTTTTCAGTCTGATGAGTCGCTGCCACGCTTTGGTGCGGATCAGGACACGACTGCAGCACTCATTTCAGCTAAAGAGCAGGAGCTCCGTCTGTTTCAGGTTAGTGGACATCATTCAGTAAACTGTCCCGTCGGGAAATATGTCACTACGTCACACAGTGGAGTCTCTCTGATTGGTTGACGCTGCGCGTCGAGCTGCAAAAGTTCAGATTTCCCAACTTCAGCGATTTGGACGATTTGGACGATCTGAGCGTTCGACGCTCAGATCGTCCAAATCGTCCAAATCGCGCTGCTCTAATCGCGCTTGAGGCGCCGCAGAACTTCCCGACGTTGCTTGAAGCGCGTCCACCATAGACTTTGTATGTAAACCTGCTGCTCCTGACGCTGAAATCGCGTTCGGTGTGAACGCACCATTACATGTTGGAGCCAGAGCCAGAGGAAAATTGAGATGAGGAAATTGTAGTTGGTAAGTCCAGACCTTATTTGGCAATTCTGTCGCAGACAATTTGACGTAATAGACTCAGAAAACGTCACAGAAAACAGAGAAAAGTGAACGGGTTGAAAAGTGTGATATAAACAGAATTTAAAGATATCTTTGCAGCACTGAAGACTAGAGATTAAATTCAACTTTTCTGTCCTCCTAGAGACTTTAAGTACTCAACAAAATATACTGAACACCTAAAAATGGATTTTGCAGGACACGTTCCCTTTAAAATTCAACACCTACTTGCAAGTTARAAATTTAAATACGACCAGAACTCATCATGGAAAGAGTTGGTTACACGCTCTAAAAAAAGAAATGTTGAATTTTCTTTACTCAACTCAGTTTAGTGGGACCAAATTGGTAAATAATTTTACTTTCCAGATTATTGTGAGCAGTTTTGTGACTTTTACTTAAATAGGCACTTTTCTTGTTGGTGAAGTTTATTTTTTCCTGTCATTTTCTGTTAAAGTATTTTTTTATATGTTTAAGTACTTTATAGGCCTCTGGTAAAGCTACTGTGTTGTAAAGAATTAAACTTGCAACTTGTCTAAGTGTTACACAACAAACTGCTGATCTCAGGTTACAGCATGATGTCACCATCATCTCAAAATATATACACTGGGACTGCAAGTCATAAGAAAAAACAAAACAAAACAAAACAAAACAAAACAAAACTATGCTTACAGAGAGGTCAAAAAGAAAAACAACAACAACAAACAGAAAGCACTCGTTCCACTCCCTCTGATTTTAAAAACATTAATCTTTGAAAGCTAAAAAATACATTATCAGTGAGTTACAAATTATAAGAAAGACCACAGAAATGATTTTTTTTCCTGCTTCAGTTTGGCTTTTAAATGTCGCAACTAAAAGAAGTAATCTGAAGTCTGAACATGCTCACCACGCAGCTGGAGTAGCCGATCCCCACCAGCTTTGGGGAGATGTGCTTCCAAACCCCAATGCTGCCCTGTCGAATACTTTGTCCCGCTGCCAGCTCCATGAAAAACAGAGGAACTCCAACAAGCAGCAGAAGAAACACATACAGAAGCATGAAGGCTCCTGGAAGGATTGAGGGAGCTCAAGTTATTTGTTGCTTTTCATTTATCCAACTATGGTTTAATGTTCTAATTAAGGTTCTTATGTTTAAAGTCTTCCACTCACCTCCTCCGTTTTGGTGGCAAAGGTATGGAAACCTCCACACATTTCCTAATCCCACGCTGAAGCCAACTTGAGCTAACACGTACTGGATCTTAGAATCCCAGGCGGGCCGATCTCCGCCGTTCGGCTGGGCTGTGTCGGGACCGGACACGGCAGAGAGCTGAGTTTCAGACTGACCCTCTCCCAACCAGGACCTCTCCTCATTTGAGTCCAGTGCAGGCTTCTCCATCTGGTCAGACAGGAAGTTTCTCTTCAACATTGTTGTGCTCAGACTGAATGAAATATGTTTTTACTGATGAGTCAAATATATCGCATACATCTAAATACTGAAAGGGATCCCCGATTAGTTGTAACATTAGACTTTATATGATAAACATATACTTT